CTTGCTTTCTTTCTTGCTTTCTTTCTTGCTTTCTTTCTTTCTTTCCTTTTCTTTCTTTTCTTTCTTTCTTTCTTTTCTTCTTGCTTTCTTTCTTTCTTGCTTTCTTTCTTTCTTTCTTCTTCTTTCTTTCTTTCTTTCTCTCTTTCTCTTTCTTTCTTTCTTTCTTTCTTTCTTTCTTTCTTTCTTTCTTTTCTTTTCTTTTCTTTTCTTTCTTTCTTTTTTTTTTTTGCTTAAATTTGTCTTTGTCCCCCAGTGGGAAATGAATATATGCTCATTACAGAACATGTGGGAAAACAGAGAGGAGCAGAAAGAGGAGACACTAAATGAGAAATTGCCTTTCTAATGCGGTGTCCCTGGGACTCCTTCTGGCCCGGGGCCCTGGGCTCAGCCGGGCGCATGGACCCTCTGGCCTGCAGGGGCCTCCGTGGCAGGCTGGCTTTCAGGAATTGCCCCCGCCACGGGCTTGCTACCTTGTCGGAGTGATGCAGCAGGCGGAACTGACATGAGTTGCTATATTTAATACCAGCCTTGCATCACCGGTGACCGCACAGCAACGTCGGCCCAGGAGCTGCCCTGGCTGGGGGCGGTTCTGAAGGCCGCCCTGAGAGAATCACTTTCCACAAGAGAAGGCACTGTGCAGGGGCAGGGAGAGAGCGCAACAGAAAGTGAGGTCGTAGGTAGAAAATCACTTCTGGGATTTCAAATGGCTTCGTCATGGGGCCCTCCCTTGCTGCCGAGAAATCAGTTGATCTGGGAAAGTTCGTTGCAAACCCTTTACTCTGCTGCTGGGTGGAGCTGAGAAACGAATGAAGATAATGAGGCTTTAATGACTTTTATTTTTCAGTGTAGGACTTGGGCAGCGTGCGTGGAAGGGGTGACCATGGCTACAGCCATCAGCTCTGACCCCAGCTTGGGCCTCTGGGGAGGCCCAGATGACTGGCCCATGGGTCCAAGACTGGGCGGTCAGCCTGGAACACAGTCAGCTTGGGCTCAGCAGGGCCTGCTCGGAAGGGAGTCAGCTAAAGGGAGGAACGGTTTTTGGTTTTGCTCAAACTGACCAGCTGAATTAAGATACTAAACAGAAGGCACTTTCCTGTTGATAATAATGAAAAAGCCATGAGCCGATGGATTCGATAAACCCCAGCCTTCAAGCTACTGGGTCACAAGGAAGCAAGATGCAAGCCCTTGTCCTCCTGAGTCCTGAGCACTTCAGAGGGCCAAGCCTCGGAGAAACCCCTGCAGTGACTCGCAGTGTTTTCTGACACCTCATCTGAGCAGCAAACAGAGGTGTTTGGTGCCGAGTTCACCGGAAACTCAAGTGTGTCTCACTTCTCACTTGAGCCCTGGCCCCTCTTCCAGTGAAACCTCTGGGGCCTGGAGTTCCTGGGGTGCAGAGGGGCTCCCCGCCCTGGGCCCCATGACCAGCATCTCCCTCCCACTCAGCAAGCACCCTGTCTCTTCCCAACCGCCCTTCTGTCTGGGCCCTGCCCAGGGTTTGCCTCTCCGCATGGAAGAAGTGAGACCACATGGTTAGAGAAACTCCCAGCAAATACCCGCCGGGCTTCAGTCCCCAGGTAGTGATGCTCCCAGCCACAATAGCTGACACATACCCTTTTTTCCTGTTTCATCTGCCTCTTTCTCTCTCATTCCTGGCCAGGCCCGCCTCCCTTTGGCCACCCATACTGGCTTGGTTCTGTGGCTCTGTGAGGTCCACCATTCCTGGAATGGCCCGAGCCCCCACTGGCTGACTGCACACCCTGTGAACACAGGTTCCTTGTCTCGGGCATAGTCTCAGAGCGGCAGGCAGGGAGCTGTGGGGAGCTGAGGACGTGGCGCGCTGTGGACCCCTAGTGGTGGGGCCTCTGCAGCCCTGTTAGGGCCCTACACCCTCCAGACTACCACTGGAATACATCCTTAGGAAACCCTCATCGACCCTGCCCGCACCAGCCTCAGCGCCGGTCTTTGTTCTTGAGAGATTCACATGGAATTTCACCCAAAGACTTTGCATCCTCTTTCAGACAGACAGGCCAGTACTCTGGTTGGGCAGAGGATGTGGTGAAAGGTGATGTGGCCAGAGAATGGATGGCTAAGTTTTGTGTAAAAATGGAATTAGTCTTCCCTAAATATCCTCTGGCCTTAAAACCCTTGGAACTCTGAATGGAGAGTGGCTGCAGAGGAGCCTCCATTGCTCAGACTTCTTTCTGGTGCTAACCCGTGAGTGCGTGTGGTGTCTTGGTCACGGTTAGCCCCAGGGCTGGACGAGTGCAGGCCGCCACAAATGGAGTGGGACCGAACGGGTTCTGAGACCTCCCGGGACCACAGAGACGGTCCAGCGCCTGCCCCCGACAGCCTGTGGGACGCTCAGCTCCCATGCCCCCTCCCTAGGTCTTCCCTCGCTTCTGCCTGGGTGCAAGGGGTCCGCTGTCTCTGAGTGGCTCCTGGAACTGCCCGCCATGGACCTCTGCCCCCAGATAGGTCCTGCCATGGCGTCTGTTGTGTGCATCACACACAGCATCACCTCTCGTGGCTCCTGGGGTGGCTGCCTCCACTGGCTTCTGAGCGTCGCTGTGGATGTTCCCACAGGGCTTGCGGCTTCCCAGGCAAGGTACCTCCCTGCCACTCAGTGTTTGAGACTGGTCTCTGATGACCCACCACCCAATGCAGAGGCATCGCATCCTTCTGGGCGCCTCTTAAGAGATTCCGTGTAAACTGCTCCTGACGGGCGTGAGCATTAGCTGTGGCTTGCTAAAGCCTGCTGCTTCTGGCATTCATGGTGCTGGCCTGGGCCCGGGGAGAAGCAAAAAGACCTGGTTGGGGGGGGTGGTCTGACCAGGGCCCTGTGACCTTGGGTCTCCACTTGTCACTCCGTAGTGCAGGGGCCGTAAGTCAGTTGGTGCATCTTTGTTCACAGAGGTGGTAAGTGTGCACTAATGATGAGATATGTCCAGGGACTGACTGGCTGTCCATAGAAAGGAATTTGTGAGCTTCCTGTCAGGGGGAGGTGCCCAAACAGGTTGGTGCCAATGTTATAAAAGTCGTGGGGTGCCTGGGTGGCTCATTCGGTTAAACGTCCAACTCTTGATCTCAGCTCAGATCTTGATCTTAGGGTCATGAGTTCAAGCCCTGCCATCTGGGCTTGAACCTGCCATGACTTTAAAAAAAGTCATGCATTTAGGCCAGATGACATTTGGACAGAGGAAGGCAGAGTGGTTAAGTGTATGGGCTTTGGAGTTGGAGTGAGTTCTGGGTTCTAATCCCGGCTTTGCTCCTTACCAGGAGTATGACCTTGGGCACGTTGCCTCCTCTCCCCCGAGCTTCAGAGAGGCCGTGAGAGAGATGCCAGAGGGTGTGTGGGTGGTATCAGACACAGGCGGGCCACTCCTCTGATCATAAGATGACTTCTGAAGTCTCTGCCTGTTCCACATGTCCTCCTTGAACCCAGACATCCTGGCCCGAGCTGCTCCTCCCTCCCTGTGGGTGGTAGGTGGGGGCACGTCTTTCAGGCCAGCCACCCCCCTGTGGGCTTGCTTCCTTTCAGCCCAGGTCCTCTCCCTCACTCCCCCTGCATTCCTTCTCAGGCCCCCTCCTCCACCTGCCCTGCCTCCCGAAGAGCTCCTCAGAGTCTTAGGAAGCTAGACCAGGGTCCTCACAGGACAAAGTAAAACACAGACATCATCTGGTCTCTTGTCACCGCCTTTATTTCTGCCTTCCAGTCTGACAAAGTCAGTGAAAGAACATACTCAGTGACACCCCCCCCAGGCCATACACACCAAATGCAGCCTTCTAGGCTGCACTTCTATATATTAGTAACTCTTTGATAACATATTTTATTTCTTAATTTTAAATACAAAGAAAAACAATAAATTACTCTTTGGCTGAGGACCAGCTGCTGCCCGGCAGACAAGAGCAGCTTCTCTGGCCCTCTCCCCTGTCCCGTGTCGGCCCCAGGACCCCAGTGAGGTAGCAGAATTTTACACACAGTGCTGATTCCCAGGGACTCCTAACGCCCAAGTCGTTGGGCCCCTGGTTCCAGGTTCTGGAGGCAACAGTCCCTCCCTGTCCCCAGCACAGACGAACACACTTGTTTAAATAACACACAATAATAAATAAGGCTAAGAAGAAATGTGCCTGAGCTGCTGCTGTCTGCCTTAGCAGTGCCCGTGAACAGCAAGGCCCCCTCCCCGGCATGTCTGCCACGGCGGCCCCCACTGTAATGCTGCGGTTCGCTCTCAGGGGGGCGCAGTCGTGCAGGGCAGCGTTTGCCCTTGTGTTCTCAGAGCTCGGGAGAGGAGGGCAGGCTGGGTTCGGCTGGGCAGAGGCAGGCGGCACAGGCTGAGGTCCAAGCTAAGGAAATAGTGTCTCCCTCCCTCCCTGCCCCCCCCCCCAAGAAATTTGTGACATCTGAAAGAAAAATGAATCTGTAACTTAAATGGTCAGGTCTGCCTCTGCAAATAAGGATGCTAGGTTTTCATGCTTCATGTTAACTTCCCATGGCGATAAACTCCCCGGACATGGGTGAGCAGGTTTTTCATCAACTGGATCACTTCGATTTTTGTGTCTTGGCTGCGCTCACTGGAGATCTGCTGCAGGACAGAGAGACCGGTGTGTTAGTGGGACGCCAGAGCAAAGGTGACCAGCATCCGCCAGGGGCTTTCCAGGAACCAACTTATTTAATCCCCACAAAGTGTGTGTGGGGGGGGTACTGTTATTACCCACATTTCACTGATGTGGAAACTGAAGCTCAGGTAGGATTCAGGAGCCCACAAGCCCAGATCCTGGAAATGCCAAAGGCCGTGTTCCTGCTGCCACAGTGGACCGACCCCCAGAGTGGACACTTGCTTTCCAGACGCTCAGCCGGGTTCCCCTGGAGCTCCCAGGGCTGGCAGGAGTGGATGCAGGGTTGGGGGGTACAGGACAGAGGGCCTTACCCCGGCCAAGGTGTTGTGAAGGCACAGTGCTTTCAGCATCCTCTGTGTCCTTTGGATGGCGCTGCAGTCGGAGACATTGACCAGAGATTCTAGAGCTGCACAGTACTGCAGGGAGAAGAACACAGGCGTGTCAGGCCCGGCTGGGTACCTCCAGCCCCCCACCGGCACCTTCACTGACTCTCCAGGAAGAGGGGGCGGAGAGCCCTGAGAGAGGTGGCTTCGGGTGGTGGGAGGACTCCAAATTGTGAGTAGCTCTTGAAGCTTGCTTGGAACCCCCGAGCCGTGTGAGGGAGGCTCAGAGAAGACGAGCACAAGACCTACAGCCTCAGCGACATCCCTCCCAGCGTCCAGGGGGTCCTTACCATGCTGCCGGTCCACTTGATGCTCCACACCATGCTGCCATTGCAGAGGGATGCCTGAGGGATCAGAAAGACAGTAAGCCCAGGCCGTGTCTCCACAGGGATCCAGCCCCACGGGCATCCCTGCTGCAGCACAGAGCTAGGCCAGGGACCCCCAGTGTTCCTGAGCTTCACTTCCTGCTGTGCATAGTGGGGGAGACCCATTGTCCAGGGTCTTGGGGCTAAGAGAGAAAAATCTGAGCGACACAACCAGTAAGGGACAAGCCTTGTGTGAAGCCTAAACTCCTGATCAGTCAGTAGGACATCTCCAGGGAGGAGTCAGGTCAGCATTGGGCGAGGGAGGAGGGGGTGGTCAGGTCAGTCAGATGGGTGGCGGTGGGGGCTAGTCTATAAAACCCTGTCTTCTGAACTAGGGGACACTGCAGTTTGGAGCATGGATGCTGGGTGTCAGCCAGGCCTGGTTTGAATCTGGCTTTTGTCAAGCTTAATGAGGCTTAGTCAAATAGGGTCATCATACCTGCCTTTCGAGGTGGCTGGCAGTGATGGAATGAGATGAAAAGCACCCAGCACTAGGCTTGGCACACATTGCCCAGAAAGTGTGGGCCATCACCACTGGGGACAGGAGCTGACTACCAATGAATCCTTCTATAAGAATGGGCTTAACCAAAATGCTGTGAATAATGGCCCCATGATTCCACTCAAACCAGATGGCAAAAGCTAAGGAGTCCTAGGAGAGTGCTGGCCCTCTCTGCTTTTCTCTTCTTGAATGGCTGAGTAGGAGCTGGCCCCTCCTCTGCTTCCATGGCAGGCAGGGCCAGGCCAGGGGAACAGGTGGTCCCTGGGGGCTCCACCAAACCCCTTTATGGGTCCATCCATACTGCTGCCCCTCAACCTGGCTCTTCTCCCTCCTGGCTGGGCCCGTCCTGGTCCATGGGGCTTCCTAGGATGGGGCCCAGCCTTCATAGCCTGAGCCATGTACCCTGTGTGAGAGTCCCCCACTCCAGCACCCTCAGACCTAGAACCCCGGCCAGAGGGTACTCACCTGATTCTGGGTGATGTTGACCAGTTCCTCAATGAGCTCCTTGAGGGCTGTGGAGTTAGGCCCAGGGACCGGGGAGGCAAGGCCGCCAAGGCAGGTGAGGGCAATGACCATAGTCAACCAGAGTGCCATGGAGCCTAGAGCCAACACAGGAGGAGCGAGGAGCAGACCTGTAGGCTGGCCTAAGCTGAGTGGCTTGTGGCCTTGGCCTCTTGCAGCAGCTTTTATAGGCCAAAGTGATGACGCCTCCGACCCAGGTCTCTGCTTTGCCGAGTACTATCTAGAAACCACATCTTTACTCATCTTGATTTTACTTTGTGGAAAATCCAGCATCGCATAAAGGAAAGAGTTTGATTTCTTGTGGACTTACCATTGAGAGGGGTCTGGAGCCCTTCCCAAGATGTGGATGTGCTCCCTTCAGGGGTAGGTGAGAGGGCCCTGAGGGCAGCCTGGTGCCGGCCTTGCAGGCTGGAACTGCAGCAGTTTTGCCCGGTAACCACCCTGAGTGTCTGCCCAGCTCCTGTCCTCAGACCCTTGTCGGTCACCAGAAGCGCTCGGCTGACAGGGCTATGACTACAGTCCACCAGATGTGTGAGTTTGGGGGTTTTGTTTTTTCAATGAACTGGTCTCTAATGCTTGATTCGGATACAAAACTCAAACAGGATAAAAAGAAAAGAGTGAAGTTCATTCTTTTTCTTCCACCCGATTCCCTGTTGGCTCCACTGTGGGAAGGATTATAAAAAGTTCAGATTCCCAGGTCTCCACCAAAAGATCCAGTCAGATTCAGGGATCCTTCTGGGACCTGTTTTTTTTTTTTTTTTTTTTTTTTAAGATTTTGTTTAGTTCAAAGAGAGAGAGAGCACATGAGCCAGGGCAGAGGGAGAAGCAGGCTTCCCGCTGAGCAGAGAGCCCGACGGGCTCGATCCCAGGACCCCGGGATCATGACCTTGAGCCCAGGGCAGACGCTTAACAGACTGAGCCACCCAAGGTGCCCCTGGGACCTTTTCTTTTTTTAAAGTTGCTTTGATGATAATTTTGAGCATGGGCAGCCTAAACACGGAGTGCCCAACTCAGGCCTTCAGCGTGGGCCCATCCTGGTGGGAAACCCTTAGCCGCCAGGCTAGCAGGAGGCACGACCTAGCCTTAGCCCAGGTCGGAAAGTGTAACTGTTCCCGGTGCCACTGAGACCTGGGGCAACCACTCTGCTCACCAGTATCTGTGGGACAAAGCCTTTCTCCCTGGGGGACCCAGGTTTGTGCAGACTGAAGGCTGTGGAGGGGAGCCTGCCCCCACTCCAGGGTCCCCCTGAACAGCCCACCTCTGCAGGGATACTGCATGTAGCCATTTTCCTGCTTCTCCCTCCTCTCTCTAGAAGTCCTCCAGAAACCCCTGCAACAGAGACTGCATCATTTGCCTGTTGAGTACTGATGTCAAGCTGTCTCCCTCATCCACTTCCTCCCCTAAACCAGGGCCTCCCCCTCAAGGCCCCTTCTCTGCCCTCTCAGGCTCGCTTTGTCCTGCGGTGAGGCTCAACCTCCTCCCAAGGCTCTCCCAAGTGCTTCTGCCGCTCCTGGCCCGAAGCTCCTCTGCCTTGCCCACTCTTCCCTCCCACCCTCTCTGTCGGCCAAATCCCAAGCTTCCCAGCCCGCTTGTAGGCCCTACACCCAGAAGCCAGCCCTTGCCCCTCGCCGGCCACCCAGTGCCTGGAGTGCCGTCAGTTGGCTGTATGACACCGCCGTGGGCTCCAGTTTCCTCATCTGTAGAATGGGGTCTCTGTGTTGAGGGAAGGAGCGGGGAACCGCCGTGGGATGCAGAAGTCCCAAAGCTCTGCGCCAAGATGAGTCAAGGCCCCTCACCCCCCAGGACCAGCCAAACCGATGCGGGGAGCGGCGGGCAGGCGCGCCCCCGCGCGTAGGAGAAGGCACGCTGGCCGCGCGGTCTCGGCGATGCCCCGCGGAGATAGGGGCCCGGCCTTATGTAATGGGAAATGGGGCTGATAAACGCGATCTGCCCCGCTCGGCCCTCCTCCGCGGCCTTGGGCGGTGGCGTTGCCCTAGGGAGGGGTGAGAGCGTAGAGCCCACTCCACGGAGCTGCGAAGCGCCCGCCCCCGCCGCTGGTGCGGTCAGGTCCCAGGCCGGGCGAGGGAGCGGCCAGGGTGGGACTGATGGGACCCAGCGCCAGGCGGGACTGCAGCGCCCCAAGCGCCGGCGCGCTCCGGCGAGGGGGACGCGCGGCCAGCCCCGTGCACCTGGCGGGGGATCTGCTGGCGCTGAAGGATGCGGCCCACATGTTCTCCCGACCTGCCACCATAGGTATCGGGGCCGCGCCATCCGACCGGGGTCCTGGCCTTCAGCCCCGAGACGAGCCCCCACTGGCTACGTACTCCGTCTCTGTTGGTATTTCTTTGACTTTCAAGGGGGCTCCATTCACACCCTAGATAACTTGTGAGCAACACAAACTATGAACGAGCTGCTCCACGCCCTCGACACACATGGATGGCTTGCAACTGTCCTACAGCCCGAGGCGTGGGCGCCCGATCCCGGCCTCGCAGGTGCAGGATGCACGCTCGTGGCCACGGCGGAACCTGCCGGGGAGGCGCGGCCGGGACCAGGCGCGGCGGCCTCAGGGCCTTGCTCTCCGCCCGGGTCTGATCGCGGGGGTTGAGACCGCCCTGCTTCGGGAAGAGCCCGCTCTGCGCGAAGTTCCGCAAAACATCCTTTCCCAATTTTCGCCCACGTTGTTTCTCCTTTGGAAAGAAAAAATCCTCAGTCAGTGGCGAGTTGTTTCAATAATTTAAAATATCTAACTTAGTAGGTTTTTATTTTTATGAAGGTTATACGTGTGTGCAATTAAAAAAAAAATCATTCAGGGTGGTTGATTGTAAAAAACAGCAGTTTTGAGTATGAGTTCCCCGTGGGTCTGTTGCATTTCTGTATGACTTGTGAGCGAGGCACTAAGTGCCCCTTTTCGTTCCTCAGTATCTTTTTAAGGATGTTTGTATAACAAACAGCCTTGGACACAGCAGCAGCATCTTCACCAACAAAAGGCAGGCCGACTTACTGTCCATTGTTAAAACTTCATTTTCCCTGAGCTCAGGCTTCTTTTCCTGCAGTGCAACCCACTGGGTGCCCAGGTGCTGGCTGGCTTCCTAGGTGCTGGCTGGCTTCCTTGGTACCCCGCTGTGAGAACTGGGGTTCAGAGGACAAAGTAAAACAATAATACACTGTCGTTGTACATAATAACTTCTGTCTCTGTTCTCCAGGTGTTGTGTCTTCTGCCAGCATCCCTGAACTTGTTAATTTGTTACCATGCAAGTTAGATAAAATCTCAGAGCCTTCAGTCGTTGACAAGCAGCCCACCCCCCACCCTCCACCCCATTAGCTTCTCCAGAGAAACCATGATTTTAACTGTTTCTTTTGGTATTTACCTCCTCCCTGTTTTCTAAATTTCTTGATTTTCAGGCGGAGGCATTTTCTGTGACTTATGATGAATATTTAATTCTCTTTCCTCCTTGCTATCCTTCTTCCATTTGCATCCTTCCCTTTTTCTCATCCTCCTAGTACAGTAGAGGAGAACGTGGGTCACTCAGAAGCCCTGCTCACCATTTGCATCATAATACCAATATATTCAAAGCCGGAACATGCAGTTAACTACCATTGCTTTTATTTCCCCTCAAAGCTTTTTTCCTCTGGAGTCAGTAAGAGGTTTTTCCATTTGCTTCGGTTTTTTCTGTTTTTCTGTGATCTGACCCTAAATTCCTGGCCACTTTTATAAATCTCTCCTCAGCAGATTTGGGTAAATGAGTTACCCTCAGAATCTCACCTTCCCGGGGAAGTGTGCCCTGGAGCCTGCTGCCGACCTTCTCTGGCTGCCGTGGACAGCGCCCTCTGACCGCCTGTGAAGGCTGTAGTCCTGCGGTCTCCTGTCGCCCCCGCCCTGGGACTTCCTTTCCCCTCTCCCCTGTGCGACCCTCCTGATCCCAGGTCTTCCTTTTTTCTTGGGGAAACACATCCTAACAAACACAGAATTTCAGGCAGGAAATAATTTTCTTTCAGAATTTTTAATGCCTTTGCTTTTGCATCCTGTCTCCCAATATTGCCCCTCAGAAGTCCAAAAGCATTTGAATCCGGATCTTTTCTGTCTCTCTGGAAATTTTCTGGGCTCCCATGCTCCAACTCTTACAGTGATGCACCTCAGGGTAGTTTTGTTTTCATCTACGATGCCAGATGCACACTGGGCCCTTTTAAACTGAAGACGTGTCATTAAGTTTTGGGCAATTTTCTTTCTTGTGAAAAAATTAAAACTTCTGTTATTTTATTTTATTTAAAAATGTTATGTAAAGTCATTGTTTAAAAAAATTTTTTTTAGAGCAGCTTTAGATTCACAGCAAAATTGAGCAGAAAGTCCAGAGTTACCATATACCCCTGGCTGCACACACAGACGGCCTCCCCAGTTACCCACATTCCCTGCCAAAGTGGTACATAAGTCTACAGTGACACATCATTATCACCCAGAATCCATAGTTTACTTCAGGGTTCACTCTTGGTGTACATTCTGCGTTGTAACAAATGTGTAATGGCACGTATCCACTGTTATAATATCATACGGAATAGTTTCACTGCCTGCAAAATCCTCTGTGCTCCACCTGTTCGTCCTTCCTTCCCTCCTAACCCCTGGCACCACTGATCCTTTTACTGTCCCCATAGTCTTGCATGTTCCAGAATGTAGAATGTCATATAGTTGGAATCATACAATGTTTAGCCTTTTCAAATTGGCTTCTTACATTTAGTAATATGTATTTAAGTTCCTTCATGTCTTCATGACTCGCTTCTTTTTAGTGCTGAATAATACTCTGTTATCTGGATGTACCAAGTTCATTGACGCATTCACCTACTGAAGGATATCTTCGTTGCTTCCAAGGTTTGGCAGTTATGAATAAGGCTACTGTAAACATCATGTGCAGGTTTTTGTGTGGGCATAAGGTTTCAATTCATTTGCATAAATACCAAGGAATGTGATAACTAGATCATATGGTAAGAGTGTGTTTAGTTTTGTAACTGTCAAGTGTCTTCCAAAGTGGCTGTACCATTTTGCGTTCTCAGCAGCAACAAATGAGAGTTCCTGTCACTCGACGAGGGGCTTGATCTCACGACCTGAGTCGAAATCAAGAGGCTTAAACCGACT